GGAACGAAAGCAGGCAGTAGCACACCAGGGAGACCGCTTCCCGCCTCACCCGGGTTGAAGCTCGAAGGCCCCGTCAGGCAGGGCGAGCAGGTCCTTCCACTCCAAGTGCTCTCCCTGGCAGGCAGGGGGAATAATTACTCGCTCGTGCAAGCCATGGAGTGCTCCCTGGCTCCAAGTGCTCTCCCTGGCAGGCAGTGCTCTCCTATAATTACTCGCTCGTGCAAGCCCCTAACCCACAGTTGCTCCTACCTGCCTCTCCTCCTCTCACCCCCGCTGCAGCTTGAAGAACCCGTCAGGCAGGGCGAGCAGCTTATCGAGCTCCAAGTGCTCCGGCAGAGTGATGGCATGGAACGTCGCTGTTGCACACTGCCATATTGCTCACATGCCCGTAACCATGGCCCTCACACCACGCCTCTACCCTTGTCTCCCCGTCTCACCCAGGTGGCAGCTCGAATACGCCATCAGGCAAAGCAAGCAGCTCCTCCAACTCGAAGTGCTCTGGCAGAGTGATGGCGTGGCGTGGAACGACGCTGTTGCACACTGGTCACATGCACATTCCCCCTAACCGCCTCTACGCCCCTACGCGCCTCTACATTTCTCACCCAGGTTGCAGCTCGAACACGCCGTCAGGCAGAGCGAGCAGCTCCTCGAGTTCAAAGTGTTCAGGGAGAGTGATGGCATGGAACGACGCCGTTGCCGCCTCTGGGGGCAGGTCCACCGCTGCTCGCGCCAATACCTGGTGGGGAGGGGCGGAGAGCGAGAGACGAGTGCCAACAATGAGGGGTACAACGAGATAAAAACATGCAGAATGTGCATGCTGAAACCTAAAAGCCGTTTTTACATGTCACTGGGGATTAAGCAGACGTGGGAGAGGAGTTTGATACAAAAAGGTAAGCCCACAGACCGACAACGAGTGCAGAAGGAGGAATTTTTTATGTAATAAATGAGTTTTAAAGAGTATTATTAGTGCATACCTGCTTCATGCGCAGCACCGCATCGGAGCAATCCGCGTACAGATAGCCCACCTGGGGGGGCAACGGGCGAGGGAAGGACAACAAGGTTACTTTACAAGGTTAATACGCCCATAACGTCGCAACGGCCTTCCAGCGGAGAGAGTAAGAGAGCATTTCACAGCTCACAATGCAGCATGCTCGATTCAGTGCACACGCCACGCGCACTGCTGAAGCATCAGCAATGAAACAAGAAGAGAAAAGCATCAATCCAGAAAAGTGTACCTTCCGCGAATATATTCGCACGACGCCGAGCAGCAGATGCCCCGACAGCCGCAGCGCGATGGGGACCTCGGGGTGAAGAATGGTGTCTGGGGGAGGGGGGAGAAGGGAGGAGAGGGGGGGGGGGGGAGGGAGAGGTGGGGGAGAGGGGTGTGGTGGGTGTAACGGTTTAGCTTGTGTTACGGTTACCACGACGAGGATTAAACGTCGAAATTTGATAAAGCGTACGAACGCTACAGCAACTTCTATGCACGCCGCGGATAGGAGACTAGGACAATCAGACAAAGACAGCGGCGATTTTTTTTTAGCGCGAAAGTAAACACACAGAAACGTAATCTTAAAAGGCTTTAAAGCCCGAGAACCAAGTTGGCAAGGGCCCGCTGAAAGCGTTCCTCACCGACGGTCTGCGGGATGTCGGTTTCGTAAATCTGATTCTTCCGCAGCTTCCGCTCCAGGTGCGCCGCTATCCATATCGGGCCGAGCGCGCCCTTCTTCGACAAAAATAGCTGCGAAAAGAACATCGCGACGACGACGACGACGACAGCGACGGCAACGGCGACGACGACGACGACGGCGGAAGTAACCCGAAGTTAACAAGAAATGGCTCCTCAACAGCGCGACGGACACGAGGATCGCGGCAACGACGACGTCGCGACTACGTCGGACATGGAATAGGACTGTGGAGGACGCGTCAGCTGTCGCCAGCGACAAGTCCGAAGACGGCGAGAGACTGCAACAGCTATGGAGAAAATGCAGCGATCGGACGATGTGAGCAAGGACTGGTGTGCAGACGAAAAAAAATATGAACGCTGCTGGTAGTAACAGAAGACGGCCTGAACTAAACCGTTGTCCGACGGCGAACCGAACACGAGCAGTCAAAGTTGAGCTAAACTAATGCTCCCTGAGGAAATCAGTATTGTACTGAAAGTGCATTCATATTAGCATCTAAATTAGGACCTTGACCTAGCCGTCGGTTATTGCGAGCCTCCTCCTAGCAACACGCAACTTTAGTCCCTAGTCACTTAGTGCGCTAGGAAAAGCTGAAATGCTGAAATTGCTCTAACTGCTCTCCTCCCTTATCGACTCCTTGCGCTTATCTCACAAGCGCTCTCCGCGTGAATGGTGCCTTCCGCAAACGCAACCCTGTTAGCGCAGGTTGCGCACAGGGGGAGCTCGGCTGTCGTTACAGTATGACTGCCTTCCGCTTGACGATTGCTGGGGGGAGGGAGGGGAGTAGCGAGCGCGCGCGGGAGAGCGGGTCTCGTCTCGTCTCATCTCATCCACTGCTGTGTTTGATTGACGTCGCTCGTCTGCTTGACGCCATCTTGCTGCAGCGCGTGATTGGCTGGGGAATATCGGCGGTGCGCAGAGCACTGCTGGGGTTCCTCTGCGACTTACGTGTGCGCATTGCGAACTGCGCACTGCGCCCTGCATGGGTTGGAGTGGGTGCGCGAGGTCCTCCGCCCTCCACGTAGCCGCAACCAGAATTGGAGTTGCAAATAAAATCGTACGCGTTTGTAATAAATCTGATAGAATGTATCAGGGACCTTATAATTGTATAAAACTGCTCTGAACCCTAAAAGCTCGCTTTCCTTAGGCCACCTCGAAGCTGCTTTCCGTGGCCGATATTGCTGCGCGATTGGCTCTCACCTTTTTTTGTGGGCTCGGGCTGCCCTCCCAGGGATTGCCCTTCCGGGATTGCCCACACCACGAGTCACAACCTTGAGGGTTGCTCACGCTCAGGGCGTGCTACATTTTTCGAAGTCACTGAAAGTCCGGACGGCTGTCCGGACGCGTACGAAGATTACGACGTCGCACGGCTGCTTTGCGATCAAAGCGATGTCGCAAGGAGGCAATACGAAGAATACGACGTCATTTAGACCCTGACGAGCTCACTGCCGAGAATTGACGAGCTCTGTAACCATACAACTGTCCGGACGGCTGGCCCTCCAGACGAAAAAATAAAACATGTAGCACGCCCTCAGAAATAGAAGACTTTCCGTTCCGAACTGAATGGTCCGACCGAGTTTTCACCATCCGCCGCCACTGGTCGTGGCGCAACAACCCTTGCTTGTTGAGCTTAGCACAGCAACCAACCAACTCAATGTACGCCACTGCTTGACCAGCCGCCTCAACGCCTCTCTAGCCTGCAAGACACTAGCTGATCTTCCATTCCTGAGCCTCGTTCTGTTAGCTTCCTTGTCCCTCACTCGTTGATATATTACCCGTTGATGACCAGAGAGGCCCTGTAAAGCAGCCACACGGTTTCATTCTACGTTACATCTCGTGTCAAATGACACGCCGACCCAACATTTACACGATCGGCGACGCCCTTTCCAGATCATCATGAGAACGGCTAGGCGACACAAAGTGTCTGCTTTACCTTCAACAGACGAAGCGTTTAGAGTTTTTAGAACCTGCACCGGCCGCTAGAATGGCAGCATGTAACTCGGGATCGTCGATGGACTTAAGCTCCCTTAGTCGCCGTCAATCCAGCTGCTGTAGGAACAATCGCCGTAAGAACAGCGCAGCGCTGTCACTAAATCCGGCTCCTTACTTGAGTCGGGCAGGAGCACATTCGTGTACTCATTCACTTACGTCGCGACTACTTGTGTTACAAGTATCTCTGTTACTGCTGACTGGACTGTTAGTCGCCACCGCGGTTCACGCCAATGGCGACTTTAAATATCGGGGAACGAAGGCGGCTGACGGGAACGGAGTAGCGGCGTATAAAGCGGGTCCGCTACAAGCGGCTCCCGTCCCCTTGACCCTCCTTCCAGACAATCCCTTCGGCGCGAAATGCCTCGACGGCAGGTAACCCCACAGCGGCCTTTCGTCAACGAAGAAAGTTACTTACTCGTCGCTTGGTCTTCAATTGTGTTGTGTTTCCTTCTCCGTTAACATACAATAAGCGCCTATTCCTATGAGCGAAAAGCGTCGCCGAACCGGACTAAACCGATGTTTTCCTCCTCTGCACCCCTCTCCCCTTTCCCGGGGCTTTCTTCTCCATTTCCCCTTCCCCCCGCCCGAACCCCCCTCCCACCTCTCCTTCCCTCCTCCCCCCCTCCTTCCTCCCCAGTCCCCTCCCCATCGCTCTCCCTTCCCCCCATTGTTTTCCCGTCTTCCTCCCGCCTTCCTTCCCCGCCCGCCTCCCCCAGTCCCCCCGGGTACTACCTGCGGCGCGCGCGGCCGTCGCTGAGCCGCTTCTGGCACATCCACCTGCCGGGCGGCGGGTGGTGCACCACCGAGGAGACGTGCGCGTGGCGCGCCGGGAGGAAGCTGGGGTCGTCGCGCCTGTGGCCCAGGGCAATGATTGTGCGTGTGTTGAAGGGGAACGAGTGTGCATGTAAAAAAGGGGAAATGAGGGTGCGTTGAGGGGTTAAAATGTGCGTGTATTGAAGAGAAGCGGGGAGGAAGCTAGGGTCGTCGCGCCTGTGGCCAGGGCAATGATTGTGCGTGTTACGATGGGTAGTAGGGTGTTGTATGTTGAAGGGAAATGAATGTGCGTAAATAGAAGGGGAATGAGGGTGCCGCATGTCAATGGATTTGTATGTGCGTGTATTGAAGGGGAGAGCGTGCCTTCGTGTAAGGGATTCTTTTGTGCGTGCATCAAAGCAAAATGAATATGCATACATCGAAGGGAAGTGCACGTGACTTCCATACTCACCCCTCTCCACCAGCCCGCATTGCTGCCGGGCATCATGAGCGGAGACCCGGACGTAAACCTGGGTTTCGGCGAGTGGAACCTGGCCATTGCAGTGTACTGCGATGGGGGCGGGTACGTGGGGCGTGTGGGGTCTCAGTGCGAGGCCATCTCAGAACCACCTCAATCCAACTCCCACTATCCCTTCTCCCCCCCTCCACCAGCCGGCATGGCTGCCGGGCATCATGAGTGCAGACCCGGACGTAAACCCGGGGTTCGGCGAGTGGAACCTGGCAGTGGCAGTGTACTGCGATGGGGGCGGGTACGTGGGGCGACGGGGCGAGGTGGCTGTGGGCAACACAACGCTCCACATGGACGGCTGGAAGATCATCATGGCCATTCTCGATGGTGCGTGCGGTCCTGTCTCCCACAGCCCCCCTTCCCATCCCACCCATTCATCCTTCCCCAGTACCCCACCCCACCCCTTCCCTCCTCATGGACGGCTGGAAAATCGCCATGGCCATTCTGGATGGTGCGTGCATTCTTCCACCCGCCTCTCTCCACCCTTCCCTTTCCTCCTTCCCCACCCCACCCCCCCTCGCTCCACCCCACCCCTTCCTCCTTCCCCACCCATTTTTGGAGCTTCAGTCGTTTCAGTACTTCAGGCATGTGCTTGCTTGTCTTGTCGTTTCCACCCTGCCTCCCTCTTTTGCACACTCATACGCATCCATGCATGCAAATACTCTCGTTCCTCCTCCCTTTCCCCATCCAATCACTCACACTTACGCACACACACACACAGGCCTCCTTCCCCCTCCCCCCATTGAATCACACACTCTCATCCCAGACCTCTCATCTAAAGGGCTCATGGCAGCTCAACAGGTTCTAATAACGGGAGAGTCAGCCGGGGGGCAGGCAGTCGTGAACCTGTGTGACTATATCGCAGCCTACCTCTCCTTCGCCACCGTCAAATGCCTCTCTGATGGGGGCTTCTTCATTGGTGCGTAGCACAACATAACATGTATGATGCATCACACCCCGCTCATACGCACTCACCTAAATCGCGGCCTACCTCTCCTTTGCCTCTGTCAAATGCCTCTCTGACGGAGGCTTTTTCATCGGTGCGTGCGTGAGACACACATGCATCTCACCCACCCACGTACCTCCCACCACCTATACTCGCTCGCATTACTCATGCAACACCCGCAACACAATCCTCCTCTGCCCATGCTCCTCTTCCCCTTGCCCTTGCCCTTGGCCTTCCCCTTCCCCTTCCCCTTCCCCTTCCCTTTCCCCATCACAGCACTTCTCAGTCAACGCTATTACACTGGTATTGTTGCACTTGTGGTGTCATATGACTCTATCGTGATCTGCTCTTCACTCGTGTCATATATCCATGCCACTCACCGATGCCATTCATCCACGTCACTCACCGGTGTCAATCATCAGCCTGCCTACCCTCCTGCCTGCCCGCCTGTCTGCTCGCCATCAGACGCGCCTGACAGGAAGGGGCGTTCGTTTTTCAGAGAGGTAGCAAAGAATGCGACACAGCTACACCAAATGTTCAACCCCAAGTGCAATCAGAGTGAGGGCCTTTCTCGGTGAAGTAGAGATTGAGGCTTGTACACCAGTTGTTCAATCCTTGATGCAGCCAGAGTGAGGGTCGCTCTTTGTGAGACACTGCAGAGATCACACAAAGATCAAGGCCTGTGCTGTGCACCAGATGTTCAATTCTTCAAAGCTTTAGCTTTCTGAAACTCCTCCTTTCCTTCCCTCGCGCTCCGCCAAAACCCTTCCTCCCCTTCTCCCGCACCTCTCTGTCCCGGTTCCCTCCACTTGGCACTGCCCAGTGCCAAGTCAAGCCCAGTGGCACTGCTTCTTCCCGAGTTGACCTTTGAGTCGACTCAAAAGTCATCTCCCCACCTCTCTTTCCCGGTTCCCTCCACTCGGCAGATCTTCCGAGTCAAACCCAGTGGCGCTGCTTCTTTCCGCAGTACTCGCTTGCTTATGTCACCTCGGATATATTCATCCTCAACACGCTCTTCGACCCCATAACGCTCATGATTGGGGGTCAGCTGCCCTGGGGCCATGAACACGCCAAAGAGTGTCTGTTTGGTCTCCGATGGGGTGCCGGGGGGGGAGGGGGCGGGGGATTGAGTGGCGGAGCAGGGTTTTGGACAGGAGGTGCTGGAATGGGGGGAGGAGGGGAAGGGGGCAGGCTGGCGGGAGGGAGGGGAGGTTTGAGGGGAGGGGTTGATGGGGAGACAGCAAAACCGAAGATGCTGGGTGGTGATGGTGGTGCTGTATTCACAAGTGTTGGCATGGTTGACAGTGATTACCACGAAGGCTTTTTGGGAAGTGGTTACGGTGAAGCTGGTTCAGGTGGCGTCAACATAGCGGAGAGCAGCAGGAGCAGCAATGGGAGCAATGGTGACCGTGCCGTTGTTGCAAATGGTAACACTGGTGATCAGGCTGTGAGCAGACCTGTCAGCAGCTTTGGTGCCGGTCAAAGCAAGAACGGCTACACTGCAAAGGAGCAGCAGGTGCAGGAACAGAATCAAATGCAGCAGCCACTGCAGGTGAATCAAAGAGGGAAACAGCAGCAGCAGCAGCAGCAGCAGGGCTGTAGACCTGAAGAACGCACTGCGGTGCTGAACCATGGCTCCTTAGTAACCACCTCCCTGCAGGAATACGCCAATAATCCACATGACAATATCAGAGTGTTCTTACTGAATGCATATGCACATGGGATTGGCGGCACCAGCTATTGGACATCGTTCACATCTGACTGGATGCTGATGCCGCTGAATATTGCAGTGGCTAACTGGTTCGACGGATCCAGATAGTGAAGCTCGACTGTACTTAGCTACTCTTGTAAATTATTGAGTGTCAACACATAAAAAGAGGGTTATTGCGTTGAACACTATATTTCTATGTGGAGGATGAAAGGTTCTTATAGGTCGCATTGTTCCACGCACCGCAAGCAGTGTCGTCTTCGGAGCGGGAGTCAGGATTCAGGGATTTGGCTCAGCAGCAACATCTGAAATGGACAGGTTCGTTGGACTCACCAACAACTGACCATCCAGTCAGGACCTGGACCCGAAAATGAAGCACATTCCGAAACGGCATTCCCCGGAGCACCGCCCCACGTGAACTATCTTCCACTACCTCCCCCAAGTGGCACTTGATCCTTCTGCAATTCGTCGAGCTTATGCTGCTTCTGATGCACACCTTCTGTTAGCTCAGAGCCCTAATTATAACCGTCGTGTCGCGTCCAAGTTGGTTCGAGCGAGCATTGCCATTTTAGCAGATCCAATACGAGCGACGAGCATTCTCCCATCCAGGGGTGGACTATTTTACGGAAAATCGGATTTCGTTCTTGAACCGTCGAGACCAAGGAAACAAGCATTTCTTTCTAGAGCCACCGTAGACTTTCCTCTATAAAAAGTGCATAAATGTGCCTCGTACAGTAGTAGCAGGCGCTGTCATTCATGAACATTGCACGTCGTTCGACAGCATGTCGTTCCACGTCGGGAACATGTATCACGCAAGTCGTACAAGCTTGCAATTTGAAATCGTTTCGTGGGAGGGAGATGCCGTTTTCTGCATTTTGCAGCAGGTCGATTTGATTTAGATAGCTCAAAAACGTCGAAAACGTCGCTTTCCTGCTTCCCCCTTACCCGTCTTGGTCGCGCTTATGAAACGGATAAGGTACTTACTCCCCAGTGCCTTTAAAGTCGCCTCAAAAGCCACTAAGCACGTCGGTGCATTGCGCTCAAAAGAACGGTCAAATTGATTCTCCTTGGTGCTTCCTCGGAACCTTCTGTCCTGCCTTTTTCGCCGTATCCCGCATGGCTGCGATCTGATTGGAGCTTTCGCCTTCTGTATCAGAATCAAGATATTTCCTTTTGCTGCACCTCGAAACGGTAGCAGCATAGAAGCATGAACCAGGCTAACCGCTCGACTCCTCCTTCATGCTTATATAAACCATACGTCCTTGCGTTACGTTGACAGTCGAGCCTCGTAGTAGGAGGATAGCTCAGGGATAATATAATAAGACATCTGCACAGAGCTCACGTTGTCTTTGTATTAGAACTGCGCTCTGTGTCAAGTTGCGAGCAGTGAAAGAATCACCTTCTCCCCATCTCTCGCTCCGATCATCATCATCCCATGATGCAATCCTCGCCGTGCGTTCTCCTTCTTCCAAGCGGAGCAGCTCGACTCTACTGGGACCGGGTGACGGTACGGCAGGTTCAGCAAGATTACCCTAATTCTGTTGTCTGCAAGGATTCGGATCCCGTCAATCCTCTTCGTCCATGTGTTGTTCTTCAGCCTGGAAGCACCTGTTTTCTGGTTCCGTCATCTCAAAGAGTCCGTCGTGCACGTAATAGTACATCATCTCGACAACCTGACGCATCTGCAAATCAATCAGCCAACGATGCGGCGTTTTTCAGAACACTGTGGCGCGCGAGTTCCATGGATTACCTGGAGCAGCCAGGAATGACGGGATCCGTTCCAGCCGATCATCGTAATGGAATGCTGCTGACTTCCGTAAAACGTGCCAGGTCTCTGGACAAGAGAACGGAGGCAATGGGAAGATCGAGGGCAACTGAAAGGTCCAATTTGTTACCAAACAATGACAACTACAGCGGGATTTAGCTAATATGTTGACAGCGGTGCAGCAAATAAGATTTCTAGTTAACTTGGTTAGCTGCACAGATACCTATGTTGTGTTTCAGGACTACTGAGGCCAGAACCCTCTGTAGGCCAGATACCAGCCTAACGACCTGTATATACCGGCCAGATATAACAGTTTGCAATGCTCCAGGCCTTTTATTTAGTATAACATACGGTAAGATACTAAGGCAGCTATTGCTGCTATTCACCTTTTCTTACTTGCCTGGAGCATCTCCCTGATTGGCCTGCATGCATCAGATTTAGATGCTAATATGTTTCCCTACGTTTGTCAGCTAAGTTTCCCCACCCTGTCAAAACCACTTCCGCCGACGTTTTGGCATGAGCCCTCGATATCCTGAGGGCACAATCAGCCGCAACTCGAGCATCTCCTTGCACAATCTCAACACATCCCTCCCTCCACTTCCCTTCCAACCAGCCACACCTCCTCTTTCCCCACCTCCTTCCCCCGCGCTACTTTCAATCATCCCAGTCAGCCGTCCCACGATCCGAGCACTAGCCTCCGTGTGGCGCTCATCGAGCGGCCGGCTCCACAGGAGCACAATCAGCTGGCGCTTGCGTTGGCGCGATGACGTGGCAATCCCCCACTGGCGGAAGAGCTCGAGGCGGTGATGGAGTGTGAAGCAGTGGGCCATTCGCTGGGCCAGGTACTCCCTCTCCTTCCTCAGCTCCCTCTCCCTGGAATACCAACCGCGACACGATAATGTGGAGCCATGGGAAAAGACAAGGGGAGAGGGGAGCAGAAAAGGAGGGAAAATGTACACCATCAGAGCAGAGCAGAGAATGAATCTGCATCGAGCAAGGTAGAGAGTCGAGGAGACCACAGGGACTTCGGAAGTACACCATCAGCACGCCCTATAGTTTGAGGCATACACATGTTGGCCCTTCCTCTCCCCATGTGTTTGTCACATGCCAAACACCCAAGAAGAGGCTTACCTGGCGGCCTGCCCCTCTGCCCCCACGTGCTGTACAAGCCACTGCAGCCGACGCCTCTCCACCTGCAGGTACACCCGATCCGACGGCTCTCCTTGCATCAGCACAAGGAACAGCTGCGTGCGACGGATGAGCGACACCTGGCAGCGGTCCCACAGCACCACAGTCTCTCTCATCTCCTCCCTGAACCCCGATTCAAAGTGTGGAACAATATAAGGGGGAAGGCCAGGCTGATGCTGTCGGGGACGAGCGTTGGCGGGTGTTTCAATGCATGCTGCTCCAGAAGCATGCCCTGAATCTGTTCGGTTCCATCGCCCTCTTCTTTCTCTACCATTGGCCTCTCGTCCCCCCTGTGCTCTCCCCATCCCTCGATCCTCCTCCTCATTGCCCCAGCCTCTGTCCCCAGCTCCCCCTCCCTCTGCCTCCTCATCCTCATCATCATCCTCCTCCATCTCATCCTCTTCCTCCTCGCCTAGCCTACCCGCCTCCAGCTCCACCACCTGTTTCACCAGCAGCTGCTTCTGGTAGTGCAGCTTCGCTACAATCTCCTTCAGTTCAAGCACGTACGTGCGAATGCTCGCCACGTTCACCTCTGCTGCCGACTGAAACAGGAACTCCATCCGCTGGAGGTCCTGGGAGGAGGACCGGGTCATGGCAGAGGGGTCCGCAAGGCATCCCATGTCAAACCCTATCCCTGCAACCCCAGCGTCAGCAGCAGCTAGAAGCTCCCTCGCTCCCTCTGCAGCAGGGGCAGCTGCATTTTCGGCCGAATCATCAGCAGCAGCTGCAGGAGTAGAAGCAGCAGGGGCAGCAGCAGCAGAAGCTCCGTTGCTGCCTCGCTCTGCGTCCTTCTCGTCTCTCACTGTGAGCCTCGAGAGCTCTGCATGGAGCTGGAGCAAGCTGGCACGCCCTTCGTCCCCGTCCCTGCTCGCAGTAGCACAAGAAGCCCCCCTGCTTGCACTCCCCCCCGTGGCAGTGGCAGCAGCAGTGGCGGCAGCAGTGGCAGCAGTGATGGCAGCAGCGCCACCAGCAGTGGACAAGCAGCCTGACACAGGCTGGGAGGCTAACGAGGGCGTGAGAAGGCCAGAGAGCTGGTGAGAGAGAGGGGTGAGGAGGCCAGACGCGTAACAGGAGGAGATGTTGGAGGAGGGGGTGAGAAGTCCAGACACGCAGTGGTATGGGGGCGTCAGGATTCCAGAGAGGTGGCTGAGGGGCATTTGCACGCCGCCTTCTGACAGACTCTCACTCTCCTGCCCCTGCCCCTGCCCCTGCCCCTGCCCCTGCCCCTGCCCCTGCCCCTGCCCCTGCCCCTGCCCCTGCCCCTGCCCCTGCCCGAGCCCCTGCCTGTGCCCATGCGCCTGCCCCTGCTGCCTGGCTCTCATGCGCTCCATCTCCCCCTGAAGAGCCCCCATGGCGCGCCCCACGTCGTCCCCCAGGGCGTCCTGCAGCTTCTCCAGGCGCTGGATCTCGTGCATCAGCGCCAGCACCTTGGCGCTCACCGCCTTGCGCCGCCGCCGCCTCTCCCTCGCCCTGCCCCCCGCCACCCACGCTTCCAGTGACTGGAGAGAATGGAGGGACTGCAGCGACTGGCGGGACACGCTCTCTCTGCCAAACGAGCCTCCTCCCTGGTCCCTTCCTAGCCTACCGCTCCTCCTCTGGCTGATCTCTCGCTCGTCGGCTTCCCCTCCCTCATGCTGCTCCCACTGCCGCTCTCCCTCCCTCACTCTTGTGCTCTCCTCCCATGTCATCCGTCCCCTTGCTGCGTGCGCCTGCTGCTCTCCTCCCCTCCCACTCACCCCCACGGCCGCTTCTCCAGCCTCGCCTCTCTCCCTTCTCCCTCCCATGCTGCTGCTGCTGCTGGTAAATCTCGACTTGGAGATCTGACGGGTATGACCACCGTCCCCTGCAGCATCGCAGCCACTGTTGCTAGAGGACAACCATCTGCCGCCCACAACCAGCCCACCTGCCAGCTGAGCCACCCCTTCCCCTGGCGCCAGCTGAGCCACACCAGCAGGAGGAGAAGCAGCGGCGGCAGCGGCGGCGGTGGCGGCGGCAGCGGAGGCATGAAACGAGGCGTCTTTCTCCCTCAGCTGCTTGCTGGGTCGCCTGGTGAAGCTACCAGGGAAGCACGTGGGCAGCACGAGGTCCAACGGCTTGGATGCCGGGAAGCAGGTCGGCGTGAAGCGATCCCAGCCGTCCGCTTCATCATCGGATGACTCTGAGACGTTGATGCTGGAGATCGGGTGCACCTGCAGGGAAAGGGGAGAGTGCAGTGGTGAAGAGTTCAGAGGGGAAGAGTGCCGAGTCAGCACAGGTACAATATTTTTTAAGGCGCCTCAAAAATCGCCTCAGTTCACGCGGTTTTTGAGGCGCCTCAAAGAGTGCAAGGGTGAAGAAGAGTTCAGAGGGGAAGAGTGCCCGAGTCAAACCAGGTACAAGAGTGCAAGCAGGGTCAAAGAAGCCACTCGTGCCACTCCCCTTGCTCTCTTTTGAATAAATGCCCTGCCCAGTGCTTATCCCTCCCACCGCTCTGACCCCGTGTCTCCCAAACGTTCTCTCTCACCTTGCCACCTGGCAGGGGGTGAACCCCTGGCAGGTGGCAGCAGGTGAGGTGAGAGCGCGAGTGAGAGCGAGAGAGAGAGAGAGGAGCGTACCTTGCCACTCTGCCAGGCTGCGTGTGCTCGTCGCCTGCCGTGGGAACCGCCTTGGGAGCGGCTGTGGCAGGAGGAGGCAGCGGAGAGCGCGTGTGTGAGGTGCTGCACCTGAGCCAGTGCCTCGCTCTGCTGCCTCGCCGCCTGCGACAGCTGCGCCTCCAACTGGCGTGTTGGGGAGGGCCGGGGGTGGGGGGAGGTGGGGGAGGCAGAGGGAGACGAAGGAGTGGGGGTTGGATCAGTCTAGAGGAGCTGCAGAACAGCTGTAATGGGGAGTGGGGAGAGGAAGAAAGGGGAGAGGAAAGGGGAGGGGAGGGAGGGGGAGAGATGAAAAAGGGAGAGATGAGAAAGGTTGCTTGGAGCTGCAGATGAGTCGTGGCAGGGTCGGTGGAAGGCACACAGGCCCGAAGGAGAAGATGGGCGTTGTACAAGAGAGAGACGGCTGCCGTGCATAATTTTCTCCTCACTTCCTCCTCTCCCCGCTCTTCGCTCCTGACTCTCCCTGTATCCCACCCCGCATTTCTCACACCTCCCCATGCAACTGCCACATGCCACCCTCCTCCCCACGCACCTGCCACACCCCTCCTCCCCTCGTACCTGCTGCATGCGCACGGCCTGCTGGTGGAACTGCTCTCTGGACGGCCGCAGCCGCATTTCGCTTTCCAGCCGCGCCACCTCCCTCTGCAGCTGCTCCACCAGTGCTCTGTCCGTCACCACCTGATGGGGGAGAAGAAGGGACGTGGTAAGGGAGGGTGGTGGCAGGAAATAAGTGAGGAGGATGAAGCGAGGACGAAGCAGCCGCACCAGGGCCACCTCCCCCTACAGCTGCTCCACCAGTGCTCTGTCCGTCACCACCTGGTGGGGAGAGGAAGCGGTAAGGGTGAGGGATGGCGGGACCAGTAAGGGAGAGGGACGTAGGGAGGCGAAAAGATGCTGTGAAAACCCACACACCCACACTTGCACCACCCCACACACACACACACACAGTGCAATTCACCCCCACACAGCAATTGCCACAGCACAGCCACTCACCACGTTGACACACGCCGAGTTGGTGACCTCCTTGGCTCTCAGCGCGAACGCGAGAGTATTGCGCGTCTGGTCCAGGTGGGTCCTCCCGGCGCTGATGGTGGTGATGATGGCTGTGCGCCCGTTGCCCCCCAGCGACTGCTGCAAGATGCGCGTGAGCTTCGAGTCCCGGTAGGGGATGTGCCCCGCCTTGGCCCTGCTGCCCGTGCTCAACTTGCGGATCACGGTAGCAAGAGTGAGCAGGCTCCTGTTGATGTGGCACCCCTCCTTGAGGCGTGTGCCCGCCACGTGCGTCTGAGACGCCCTCTCACTGCCCGCCAGGTCCACAAAGTTCTGCTCCAGCCACGTGGCATCATTTCATTGGGACGGGCCAAGCAGCGGAGGGGGATAGCACAAAGAAGAGAAAATGGAACGAGCGGGAGGGAAAGGGAGAAGGCAGGTGAGGAGATGAGTAAAGCAGGTGCTGAGGAGCCCGGGGAAGGGGGAGAAACGGAGGAGGGGAGGGAGAGGAGGGGGGAGACGCATTCAGGAGACGAAGGCGAGTTGAATTAGTGTGGCATGACATCACTGCAAGTTGTGAAATCTCATCACTTAATCAGACTCCATACATCAGGTGGACTGGAATTGAAGGGCGCAAGTCGCTCACCAGCGAGGCGGAGAGCATTTGGGTGGCAGCAGCGTCTGCTGGCACGGGTATAGCCGGTGGGGGGGTTGGAGGTAGTGCCACTGGTGACATTGCATTGGGACAGCTCTCCACCAGCTGGGGAATGAAAATAAGGAGAACATGAAGAAGATATGAGGAAATTGGAAAAATGGGAAAGTGAGGAGATGTAGGGTGGCGAGATCGATAGGGGGAGGGTAAGGGAGGGAGGGGAGAGAGCACCAGTTGAATGTGGGAGCATTGTGAGGGGCGTAACTTAAGGATTGCACACACACGCACACATACACACACTCGTTGAGCACACATTTTCGCACTGACTACACACAGCACACATTCCACACACACGCCACACTCACGAGGCGAATGATCTGGTGCGATCTGGAGCTGGCGTCGTTGAGAGACGTCTCGCCCACCTCCCTGTGCGCCGCGCACTGCGCCAGCAGCCGCTGCAAGTCGCCCTTGGACTCCACGCCCACCTCCGTCAGTCGCTCCACCACCGTGCCCCTCTGCACGCCAAGGCATGGTGGGAGCAAGGCGGGAGAGGAATGTTTTAAACGGTCACTTGAGCCTGCAGCTGCCGTGAGGGTACATCGCGTTGATTCCTGGGTCGGCAATGGTCAAGAAAGGGTCTTGGAAATTACGACCCGGGGTACCTTGAGATTGTCAAAAGGCTTCAAACGTTACGAATTCGTGAATTGCATGGTTACCTCGGGATCATCGAGGAGCCTGAGGGGCCCGGAGTCCGGGTTGAGGAGGTCCCGGACAATCTCGTTGTAGATCTCGATAGCTGACAGCTTCACCAGGAAGCTGCGATGCGGATTCTGCTCACATTTGCACATTGCGCATGCACACACACACACACACACACACACACACACACACACACACACACACACACACACACACACACACACACACACACACACACACACACACACAGAGCTGACATTGTGAATGTCCTTGATGACTACTGGCATTGTTGATGTCCACGAAGCCACCGAACGTTTGGGGATACAGATAACATTGCGAACTTGCAAGGCGAAAAATGACGTTCTGAAAGTGCATGAATAGGACCAACGTAGTCGGAGTCCACGAAAAAAACTGATTCCGTGAACAACCATGACGAAAGGCTGACGATGTGAATGTCCATGCCAAGACATTGTGATGCCCGTAAAGGCTGACAATGCCAATGCTCGCGGAGATAACTGATTCTGTGAACTTCTTCAGTTAACTTCTTCAGTTAACTAAGAATGCGAACCTTCATGAATTCAACCGATATTGTGCATGTTCACGAAACCGACCTTGGGGATATCGATCAGCATAAATTACATTGCGAATGTACAGGGAGAAACATGAAGGTGGAAATGTCCGTGAAAACACGTAACAGACACATAGGCCCCGAAGAGGTTTTCGTTGTGAATGTCCATGATAATCATTGACACTGTCAATGTTTCTGAGAAGATCTGGCATTGAAAGATTCCGTGTAATCGACTCACATTCCGAATGTGCGTGAAGATGTCGCAAGCGGCAAGATCAGTAATGGCCTCCATGGTGTACGTCTTCCCACTGCTTGTCATGCCATAGGCGAATATCGACGCTGGCAACACAGAAAGAGCAGCATACACCGGAAACAGAGACCAGTTAACATTGGACGGTGAAGTTCACGAGACCGTGGTACGAAAGTTTGATACAGTACAAGGCAGTGAACGCACCGTTGATCCCGGAGAGCGCGGACAGCACAATGTTCTTGGCTCCTTCCTCGTACACCCGATCCGACGGACACGCGGGACCGAACGCACGGTCTGCACGCACGCATGACAAACGAAATTAATTCAGCTATGCGCTCCTCCATACTGTGATACCTCCTCATAAATCCCTACAAGCGTGCTGCCTATGCGAGCAGGACGAACGTGTGCAAACTGCCGGTGAACGGTCTTATAAGAGAGACGATTGACAATTTGAGCGCTCACCGAAAGTGTAAGCAGCCGGGTACGGCGAGCGCTCGGGAAGCGGCTGCAGGAAATGGAGCGTGTTGGGTTCTTGAATGCGCCACACTACCTTATCCCCGCTCGCCGCCTCCTTCCTGTTCAACGGTCGCACGCGGACCGACACGAAGATTTTCTCCGACGTGGCCTTGAGCCCAACGCTCGTTCGAGACACGGGCGCGATAGCCGCTTTAGAGTCTATTACTAGCTCAGGCGAAACGGCCGCTTTCAGGATGGTGTCTTGGGGAATGCTGTCCGGCGCTAGGCTCGGATCAGGCTCCATCCTCGCGTCGGGCCGCGCATCCTCGCCGAGCTTCCATCGCCTATTAGAACCTTCTACTCTCCGAAATCTCTCCAATTGAGACTCTTCGCCTATAATCTGGCTGTTAAACATGGCTCCACTAGGGGTCCTTTCGAGGTTGGTAAGCTCGGAGTGGTACGGAAAATCTAGACTACCACACGAGGACAAGCTCATCTGGCAGATGTCAGAATCGTCCATTGCGAAACGTTAACGATGTCTGCCAGATATCTCCTCGGTGAGAATAATATCTGGTGAGTTCGCATCGATGGTTCTGCCGGAAAGGTCCTTCGTACCGCAATCGGGTCTTGTAGGAGGTAGCAGCAAATGTCAACGATTTATGCTAAGCGCTTTACGAAAGGCCATCGCATGGCTCCTGCTTGACCGAGGGTGTAGATTCGTTTTGAGGATGCGTGATGGGGAATGTCGGTCTCCGAGACCAGCACTTGTGCTACGTGTGACATGTGACTCCAAGGCCACGACGTGCTATATGAGAATGCGAGAATAACGTTGTGGAAGGTGACACAGCCGTTAGCTTTACGGATCGCGTATGCTGGACGACGACACGCCATGGACGAAACTGGGAGCACCCTTCCCTTAACCACGTGGTCTCATTGCCTCACTTCAATGCATTGCAGGAAATAATTTTGCAAAAACAGTCATATGTAGCTGGAACACCCATCCAGACCGATCCGTATGCCTCTCCATGGCGGCAGACTTTACAAGAAGGCAGCAAAGTAGCATAGCATCTCTTAATGAGCGTCGTATCATCGTTCCTGGATGGTTTCCATTCATGTCAGCATGCACTGGAGAAGATGTTTGTACGATTAAACGTGTTCAAAAGCAGCACAGTGCGGTAATTAGGTTGGAACATCGGTGACGGCGGCAGGGACAAAATTACACGCCTGCATTGAGTCGAAGAGCATCCCGCTTCCGCCCATGCGGAAATGTTTCCCCCCGCGACGCGAGAACCCCCCTTCTTGGCATAAGCCGGTGGTGCTGACTCAACTGGACTGATTTTGCTGGATCCTCCCAACAAATGGCAAGGAAGGCGAGATTCGCATGGCATGCAATGGTGTGGGTTGTTTTGAGCGACGGCAAGCAGGTGAGAATGTTCTGCAGAATGCCTTGCCAGTGCGAGCCGAGGCGAAGCATGCCGTGCGCCTTCTCGGCTGTCGCGGACGTGATCCTGCGAACTAGACGCATCGCTTCACAACACCATGGCGATGTTTCATGTTCGTCGATGCGGTTCGGCATGCTTGAATCATCACCCATGCAGGCACATCAAGGGCCAATGAGTGTGCTGCTGGGGGGAACCATGAATAATTCGTGATGGCGCGAAAATCCATTCCGCGGGACCCCTTTGCCGAAGGGGGGTGTCGTGCTGGTGTGCGGCAAAGGACCCATTTGCACACAACTAAAATGCACTGAGCGAGCATAATTTGTGCCTAACTCTATCAAACTCTGAGGAGCCTTTGTATGTGCATTTTGTATGCAATGTATATTGAATGAAGAACTCAATTGTGAACATTAATCACCAACTAGTATGACTCACTCACTCGGTCTGATCGTACTTATTAGAAAACCTGCACTGCAGATGCCGTATCGATTATCGGGAAGTGCTAAAAGCACGCTGGCCAAGGGGGGTATGGCCGCGCTCACTCGCTACACAACAAGCCCCCTTACATCAGAGCAATTAACAGCTGAGATTTCGACGTAGAATCAGAGGGAAATTCTGTTATGATGTGAAAGCAAGAATGGTGAAACTAACACAGTACATAAATCACAGTACTAGCAAAGTCAAGAAGTAAACAAGTGAGGCCAAGTAGGCACAAGGCCTAAAACAATACAGAAAGGCTCATGATCACAATGTTGAAGTGCCTTGGTGAATATACCAGCAGTGTTGGCCCGAGAGGCCTCGTAAACAAGACGAAGCTGACCACGTTGCTGCAACTCTCGAAAAAAGGAAGTAACGCAGAGCGATGCGCTTCGTCCTGTGCTACAGTCTGTGCTCCTAACACAAGGCAATCATGGCCTTGTTGTCGATGTACAGAACTGGAGGAGAACGAGGCGGCTCTCTCTAGTCGGTCAGCAGGTAGGTGAGCCAGCGTAACTCCTGTGCAGCCATAGCCCCTGCGTAGATCTCAGACTCACAACTTGAACTGAGAACAGAAGACGAGCAGGTAGACCGGCAAGAAACAGAGCCGGAGCCAAGACTGAAAGTGTAACCCTGTGACGACCGCTGCGTAGCCGAGTTATCAGCCCAAGAAGCGTCTCCGTGTCCAGTGAGAACAACTGGACCCTGTCCTCCAAGCACGAGCCACATACCCGACGTACTGCACAAGCAGCGCAACACCCTCTTAGCGGCCTTCGAGTGCTCTGGTCGGTGTCTCCCGGGCACAACGTAGCGTGTCAGGATGCTAAGAGGGTAGGCAAGGTTAGGTTGAGTGCAGGTCATCAGGTACATGAGGCAGCCCACAAGCTCTGGATATGAGCCACACGGCTCTACGGACTCGTCCGAAGGTGGAGCCAAGAGAGAGTGACCGGTAGCCAGAGGAGTGGACTCTGGCGAGGAGTACTAGAAGTCAAAGTGCTGAAGGACCTGCTGCACCATGTGTGACTAAGTCAGGGTAATGGTGCGGCGTGCTCTATCCCGGGTGATACGCAGCTCACCTGGGTTTGTGCACGTGTGTCTCTTCAGCAGCTTCGAATTCACTAGGGCCAGCCCCTTAGTGTCAGCAGTGGCAAAGATAAAGTCGTCGACGTACACGAGGACGTAGAACGGCGGAAGCGAAGTGTCGGTGGGCAGAAACAACGACGGGTCAGCAGTCGAAGGAGCAAACCCAAGAGCCGCAAGCGTCGTCCTTAATGTGTCATGCCACTCGCGAGGCGCCTGGCGGAGACCGTAGACTGGCCGCCGAAGGCTCCACAGGGTACCTACAGGAAACGACCTAGTGAAGCCAGGTGGGCGGTGCAGCGAGATCTCCTCGTGCGGGCTGCCCTGTAAGAAAGCTGTACTGAAGTCAAGAGAGTGAAGTTCGTAGTCACGCTGAGCAACGACGTGCAGCAGTACCCGAAGAGTAGTCATCTTCGAGGTAGGGGAGAAGGTCTAGAAGAAATCAACCCCTGTCGCTGTCTAAAGCCTCGTGCAACGTAGCGAGCCTTGAAGGCAGGCGGAGAATCTGGCGGCCGCTTCACCCTCAAAATCCACATGCCATCGACTATGTTCGCCCCAGGAGGGGGAATTGCGTCGACGTAAGTGCCTGTGGACTTCTAAGATGCCATCTCTGCATCCATGGCTGTCTGCCACTGAGAAGAGTAGGGACCCTCTATCGCCTTTGCGTAAGAGCGCGAGGTCTGGATGTCTGGAGCATCTGGGTCTCCCTCACGTGCAAGCAGCATGGACACAAGATGAGGTACAGCAGCTGCAAAACACTCAAAGTCCTCCGGCCTGTCCTCAACGACGTCCGTGCCAAGAGCACACTCACCCCCGACGGACGGAGGACATACAGACTCAGACTCAGCAACAAGACGAGCGGCGTAGTCGAGACAACAGACAGCAGCAAAGTCAACAAGCTCAGCGACTAGGGCAGACGCAGCAGTGGACTCAAACAAAGGGTCAGTGACAACAGTGGCCAGAAGACGCGTGACAGTAGGACTAGCAGCACGAAGGAGGTCAGACTCAGGGTCCGGTCCGTCAGCAAGGGAGGACGCATGAGGAGACGGTAGGGGAACACGTAGTGGAACAGAGGAAGGACGAAGTGCCATATGGTGCGTGCCGGGGACAGGAGGAGGACGCGGACGCGGAACACGACTACTAGTGCGACCAGCGCGAACAGGCGAGGCAGGGCGAGACGCAGGCTCATGACGCTCTGTAAGAGAGTCTGAGTGCTCAGTGTAAGGAGAAGGGGCAGGCAGTGGGGAGTCTGGCTGTAGTTGAGGCTGCGACTGGTCAGGCGGTGGACACAGCAAGGGAGGAGAGTAAGGTCAGTAGAAGACGAAAGACTCAGAACTTGGCGAAGTGCCGAACCAGGTGGTGGCAGAGACAACGGCGACGGCGAACAAAAAACAGTCGCCGCTGCACAGTGCCTCCAGCACCAGTACCGATAGCTCCAGCACCCCCAGCGCTAGCGTCTCCATCTCCAGCACCTGCAGCACCACCAGCTCCAGCGGCTCCAGCAACTCCAGGCAACCCTTGTACCGCAGGCACCTCCATGACCTCCAGTAGTAGCAGCACCACTAGCTCCGGGAGCTCCAGTACCTCCAGCACGAGCACCTCCAGGGTCAGCACCTCCAGCACCTCCAGAACCTCCAGTAGCAGCACCACCACCTGCTCCGGCAGCTCCAATACCTCAAGTACGAGCACCTTCGGGACCAGTGGTGTTAGAATAATAGGCAAGGATGAAATTGGACTATCGAGAGTTTGGTACAAAAGTATAACCTAATGGGTTGTACCCTACAGTGAGTACCCCACTAAAGCCTACCCAAACTACAACATATAACTATATGTTTGACACACCCCCATAGGCAAAGTGGGGGAGAACAGAGGGTCACAAGTGCAAAGCAAGCTCAGGGTGGATCACAACGTCACCACGCATTCTTAGCACAAACAAAAGGCCACAAGGCCAGTTCACATGCAGAGATATATACGTAACAATAACAGCACAGTGATCTCTACCTAGCAGAGCAACCAAGCAGGTATATAGATATATATACGATATATATATAGATCACAGTACAAACAAAGTCTACAGCAAGTGAGGAAAAGTGGGCACAAGGCCTAACAAAGTGCAGAAACGCTGATGATCACCAGACGGAAGTGCCTTGGTGAATATATCAGCAGTGTTGGCCCGAGTGGCCACGTAAGCAAGACGAAGCTGACCACGCTGCTGCAACTCTCGAAAAAGGAAGTAACGCAGAGCGATGTGCTTCGATCTGTGCTCTAGTCTGTGCTCCTGACACAAGGCAATGGCAGCCTTGTTGTC